ATTTTGTGATCGACATGCCAATAGCTACTATCAACGACATTGCTAACCCCTGTACTAGGGACATTTCCCATGACTATTTAACAAGATTAAGCATGAAAACTTTTAAAGCATTTAAATTTGTGCCAAAGAAAATCAAACAACACGAATACACAACACAAAAACCCTACGTCAAACACTCCACGTACTCAAAACGGCGCTCTTCGCAAACCAATCGCAAACAATTGGAATCGTGTTGGGATAAACGGCTGGTAACCTTCACACAAGCAATGCTGCTTATTAATACATACTCGATTGATGGCTGTCTTAAAGCTTGTCAGCATGTCAGGCATTAGTTTGAAAATACAACCGCGGTTAATAAGGGCATTGGAAAACAAGACTTTTCCCCTTATGGTAAGCTTTTATCAATGAGTTTCGCGTTATTAGAACAGTATCTAACTACAAATATAATTTTCTTAGACCGCAGAGCAATTAAGGGTTTACGCCAGGTTATTCGCGGAGATGGTAATCAAAGTCTCTAATAACCGACTAGACGACGTAGACGACTGCGGTTGAGCGTTTACTGTCTCATCCATCGTGTTTAGTACTAGATAATGAAGGGATTAGGATTTCGCATCGAGTCGGTTTTAATGTTTATGGATAATTACATAGCAAACATCATGGCGTAATAAACACTGTAAATATGACATTATTTGAAAGTAGTAAATGTTAAATCACAGAAAAATATTATTAACCACAAGAAGATAGCAAAAAAATCTTCGGGATATAAACTTAACTTTATTGCTGCAAACATAGAGACATTGGGTATTTATATATTTGCGAGTCATGTAGCTGGTAGCGCAATAAATTGTCTATAGAATTCGTAAAATTTGTCCCGATATGGATATACGAATCGCACATTTTCGTTGGTCAGCATCAATCACAGATCGCGTTACTGTACGATCCGTTAGGGGTAGTTGTTAAGGCCAGGACTGTTACTCGGCCAGTCAATAACTTTAGGAACATTTTCCTGAAGAAATGATTTGGCTAGGCGGCTGGTATGTTTTGGATCGTTATCTTGTTGGAGCCGCCATTTATTTCCCATCATTTGATAAACCTCTGAAATATGTTTTTGAAGTAGAATGGGGCATCCATATTTCGGAAAAAAAACCAAAACAAATTGGTTTTACTGTCTATATAAAATCCACCCCATGCAAGAATTTTTGTTCGATTTTCGGAAGAGGACGGACTGGTCTTTCGCCTTTATGCCAGCGTTTATGGTGTTACGTAAGAGCTAAAAGGCTGTCTCATCCGTAAATAGTGTTTTCTTCCAGTTATCGTTAAGGTGCTTTTGGCCCATTCAACATGTCTTTTCGCATGGTCTGGAATAAGCATTGGTGTTGCGACTGGAAGACTTTTTTTATAACCAATACTTTTTAGATGCCTTGAGACAGTTACATATGGTGCTTCGATACCTTCTTTTGACAGTCGAGTTGCCAATGTTCTGAGAGAGTTTGAAGAATTGCATCGACTTTGTTGACCTAGTATTCTCAAACCTGCTGCAGTAATCTTCTTTGGTCGACCACTTCTACGTCAGGTGTGTTGTTACCTTTTTTTCTAATTATTTAATATTACAATATATTGTTTGAAGTGATATATTTGTGAGATTATGAAGTTCTTTGGCAATACGCACTTCTTGGTTCCAAAAATATAATAAAACTTGACAATGTTGTTCTTTCTCTGATACTAGAGACGTGTTCAATTAGAATTGTTTATAATACATAAGCAATATGGTATACAATTTATAGTACAGATGTTTATGTTATTATGCATTTTACGTGACACGATTTGGAAGAGCTACGCGTATTTTTGTTATGCCAATTTTTTTGCAAAAACTTTTGTAACACGCTGTATATTACAAGTATATTACATTCAATAATTATACTGTTTTTATATGGAAGATAAACTCCAACAATCTTACTTTATTTAGTTTTATTAAAGCAAGTAAGAAACATAACTTATCGTAGTAAGCTCATTGGCTGAATTAATAAATAATCATAGAAGTATAAGGCAGACAGGGGTAATTTGGCAAAGTTAAAGTTCTTACTAGTGTTCAGATAAGTGAGTCACATGGTAAAATCTTCCTCCGCAGTCAAACAACCCCATGATCGACACTAATTTTAGTTTAGTCTCACAAAAAGCATTGATTTAGTAATATCGGCATTTCGAAAATCCGCAACGGCGCTACACTACATTAGGAAACAAAATGTTGCGACAGCACAAAACGCTATAATTAGCCTGTATTTAACTGTTCTCTAGAATAGTTAAAAGTGCGTTGCGTTTTTTCCGCGACAGCACAAAACGCTATAATTAGTCTATATTTAATTATTCTTCTAGAAATAGTTAAAAGTGCGTTGCGACGCTCAAACATATATAAGTAGCTTATATCCCATCGTCAAAAATTAATGTTGTCATGTTACGAATTAAAATAAAATATTATTAATCTTAGTAGTATTCTCCCGCAATCCTTTATTATAAATATACAATTTATTTTCTATCGTCGAAATAATTGATTATTAGGCCGGACACTCCAATAAAC